TTTCGGGATCCATTCCCGGATTTCTGGATCCATTCCCAGATTTCAGGATCCATTCCCAGATTTCAGGATCCACTCCTGGATTTTGGGATCCATTCCCGGATTTCTGGATCCATTCCCGGATTCCGGGATCCATTCCCGGATTTCAGGATCCATTCCCGGATTTCCGGGATCCACTCCCAGATTTCAGGATCCATTCCTGGATTTCTGGATCCATTCCTGGATTTCCGGGATCCATTCCCGGATTCCGGGATCCGTTCCCGCTGATCCCTTCCCTCCCCGCAGGATCCGACGCTGAAGTTGAGCCTCGCCCGCAGCGTCTCCATGATCGGCCGAGCCCTGGCCAGAGGAAATTCCCGGAATTCCGGGAATTCCGGGAAATTCGGGAATTCCGGGAATGACCTCGGGAATTTCGGGAATGAGCCCCGGAAGGGCCCCGGGGGCTCCGTCAGCATCGCCCACAAGGCCGAGCTGGTGGCGCTGCTGGTGGTGAGACTGGGAGGGACTGGGATGAACTGGGATAAACTGGGATGGGCTGGGATGGGCTGGGATAAACTGGGATAAACTGGGATGGGCTGGGATAAACTGGGATAAACTGGGATAAACTGGAATAAACTGGGATAAACTAGGAGAGGGTTGGGAGGGATTGGGATAAACTGGGAGGGAACTGGGGGGGACTGGGAGGGACAGGGTTAAACTGGGAAGGGACTGGGATGGACTGGGAGAGGATTGGGAGGAATTGGGCAGGACTGGGAGGGAGTGGGATGGACTGGGAGAGGATTGGGAGGGATTGGGCAGGACTGGGAGTGAGTGGGATGGACTGGGAGGGAACTGGGATGGTCTGGGATAAACTGGGAGGGGACTGGGATGGACTGGGAGGGGCTGGGACAGACTGGGAGGGAACTGGGCTTAACTGGGATGAACTGGGAGGGGACTGGGATGGACTGGGAGGGGCTGGGACAGACTGGGAGGGAACTGGGCTTAACTGGGATGAACTGGGAGGGGACTGGGATGGACTGGGAGGGGCTGGGACAGGCTGGGAGGGAACTGGGATTAACTGGGATGAACTGGGAGGGGATTGGGATGGGAACTGGGATGGACTGGGAGGGGCTGGGACAGACTGGGAGGGAACTGGGATTAACTGGGATGAACTGGGAGGGGACTGGGATGGACTGGGAGAGGACTGGGAGGGACCGGGATAAACTGGGATGGACTGGGAGGGAACTGGGATGAACTGGGATGGGAACTGGGAGGGGACTGGGATTAACTGGGAATATCCACAGGAACAGAATCTGGGAATTCAGGAAATCCAAGGAATCCCAAAATTCCCACCCAAATCCTTTGGAATTCCGGCCTCACTTGGGATCCCTGGGAACATTCGGGAACATTCCGGAACATTCGGGAACATTCGGGAACGTTCCCATTCCCAGCCTCACTTGGGATCCCTGGGAACATTCGGGAACATTCCGGAACGTTCCCATTCCCAGCCTCACTTGGGATCCCTGGGAACATTCGGGAACATTCCGGAACGTTCCCATTCCCAGCCTCACTTGGGATCCCTGGGAACATTCGGGAACATTCCGGAACGTTCCCATTCCCAGCCTCACTTGGGATCCCTGGGAACATTCGGGAACATTCGGGAACATTCCGGAACGTTCCCATTCCCAGCCTCACTTGGGATCCCTGGGAACATTCGGGAACATTCGGGAACGTTCCCATTCCCAGCCTCACTTGGGATCCCTGGGAACATTCGGGAACATTCGGGAACATTCCGGAACGTTCCCATTCCCAGCCTCACTTGGGATCCCTGGGAACATTCGGGAACATTCGGGAACATTCCGGAACGTTCCCATTCCCAGCCTCACTTGGGATCCCTGGGAACATTCGGGAACATTCGGGAACATTCCGGAACGTTCCCATTCCCAGCCTCACTTGGGATCCCTGGGAACATTCGGGAACATTCGGGAACATTCCGGAACGTTCCCATTCCCAGCCTCACTTGGGATCCCTGGGAACATTCGGGAACATTCGGGAACATTCCGGAACGTTCCCATTCCCAGCCTCACTTGGGATCCCTGGGAACATTCGGGAACATTCGGGAACATTCCGGAACGTTCCCATTCCCAGCCTCACTTGGGATCCCTGGGAACATTCGGGAACATTCGGGAACATTCCGGAACGTTCCCATTCCCAGCCTCACTTGGGATCCCTGGGAACATTCGGGAACATTCGGGAACATTCCGGAACGTTCCCATTCCCAGCCTCACTTGGGATCCCTGGGAACATTCGGGAACATTCGGGAACATTCCGGAACGTTCCCATTCCCAGCCTCACTTGGGATCCCTGGGAACATTCGGGAACATTCGGGAACGTTCCCATTCCCAGCCTCACTTGGGATCCCTGGGAACATTCGGGAACATTCGGGAACGTTCCCATTCCCAGCCTCACTTGGGATCCCTGGGAACATTCGGGAACATTCGGGAACGTTCCCATTCCCAGCCTCACTTGGGATCCCTGGGAACATTCGGGAACATTCGGGAACGTTCCCATTCCCAGCCTCACTTGGGATCCCTGGGAACATTCGGGAACATTCGGGAACATTCCCATTCCCAGCCTCACTTGGGATCCCTGGGAACATTCGGGAACATTCGGGAACGTTCCCATTCCCAGCCTCACTTGGGATCCCTGGGAACATTCGGGAACATTCGGGAACGTTCCCATTCCCAGCCTCACTTGGGATCCCTGGGAACATTCGGGAACATTCGGGAACGTTCCCATTCCCAGCCTCACTTGGGATCCCTGGGAACATTCGGGAACATTCGGGAACGTTCCCATTCCCAGCCTCACTTGGGATCCCTGGGAACATTCGGGAACATTCGGGAACGTTCCCATTCCCAGCCTCACTTGGGATCCCTGGGAACATTCGGGAACATTCGGGAACGTTCCCATTCCCAGCCTCACTTGGGATCCCTGGGAACATTCGGGAACATTCGGGAACGTTCCCATTCCCAGCCTCACTTGGGATCCCTGGGAACATTCGGGAACATTCGGGAACATTCCGGAACGTTCCCATTCCCGCTCTTTTCCTTTTCCCAGGAATTCCTGAAGGCGGAACCTCCGGACACGCTCCGGACGCGGCTCCGGCAGCGAGCGCTCGACGCCTGCTCCCACCTCCTGTATCCCAGAATTCCCAGAATTCCCAGAATTCCCGAGCCGTGTTTGGGAAGGGTCGGGGCTTTCCCTTTTCTTTCCCTCTTTTTTTCCCAATTTTTCCCGATTTTTCCTGGTTTTTTCCTCTCATTTTTCCCTCTTTTTCCCTCTTACTTTTTCCAGCTTTTTCCCCTTTTTTTCCCATTTTTTTCCTCTAATTTTCCCGTCTTTTTCCTCTTTTTCCCAATTTTTCCCTGTTTTTTCCTCTTCCCAATTTTTCCCTTTTTTTTCCCTCTTTTTTCTCTCATTTTTCCATCTTTTTTCCAACTTTTTCCCTTATTTTTTCTCTCATTTTTCCTGGTTTTTTCCCCTCTTTTTTTCCTCATTTTTCCCATTTTTCTTTCATTTTTCCCAATTTTTTTCCTCTTTTTCCTCTCATTTTTCCCGGGTTTTTCCCCTCATTTTTCCCAATTTTTTCCTCTCATTTTTCCCAATTTTTTCCTCTTACTTTTTCCTGCTTTTTCCCCTTTTTTCCCCCATTTTTTTCTCTTATTTTTCCTCTCTTTTTTCCCGATTTTTCCCATTTTTTCCCTCTTTTCCCTCTCATTTTTCCATTTTTTTCCTCTCATCTTCCCATCTTTTTTCCAACTTTTTCCCTCCTTTTTTCTCTCATTGTTCCTGGTTTTTTTCCCCTTTTTTTCCCGGTTTTTTCCTCTCATTTTTCCCATTTTTTCTCTCATTTTTCCATCTTTTTCCCTCATTTTTCCTCATTTTTCCTCTCATTTTTCCCAATTTTTTTCCTCTTTTTCCTCTCATTTTTCCCGGGTTTTTCCTCTCATTTTTCCCAATTTTTTCCTCTTATTTTTCCAGCTTTTTCCCCTTTTTTTCCCATTTTTTCCTCTCATTTTTCCCTCTCATTTTTCCTGTTTTTTCCCTCTTTTTTTACTCATTTTTCCCATTTTTCCCCTCTCATTTCCTGGATTTTTTTCCTCTTTCCCCCTCATTTTTCCCCTCATTTTTCCCATTTTTTTCCTCTCTG